CGCCGCCGACGCCCTCGCCGGACAGCTCGTGGCCCGGTGGGCCGCCGCGAGCTGAGCGTGGCGCTGCAGCGGGCCACTACCCGGCAGCTGCGCTCCGCCCGAGGGGCGGACGGCGCCGGCCTGGCCGCTGAGCTGCGCGCCGCCGCTGTGGCGTAGTCGGCTCATCATGGTGCTCTACTGGGTCGTCGCGCTGCTCTTCGTGCTCACGGTATGTGCGCGGTTGGGATAGACTCGCCGCGGCGCTTGCAAGAGGAGGAGGAGGAGGAGGAGGAGGAGGAGGAGGAGGAGGAGGAGGAGGAGGAGGAGGAGGAGGAGGAGGAGGAGGAGGAGGAGGACCAGTGTTAACCCAAGACCCGTCAACAATATTGCCATAAAAGGACCCCCTTCTAAGCTCGCTCTTCTGGCCCCATACAAGGACCCATTTGCACTGAAGGAAGTGCCCTATTGGAAAGCAGCGGCTAAACATGTTGAGCTGTGCCAGAATACCACTATTGGACGCCAGCGCCGCGAATCATCATTGTTGTAGCATCTTGACGATTTTTGCGCTCTCACATCCCGACGTTGTGTCAAAACAGAAGTTCAGGGACGTTAGCCATGATAATTCTCGAACATGTGGTAAGCTCTTCAAACTAGTTGTGGTAAGCTCTTCAAACTAGTTTGCGCGGCGCTACGGCGAGAGACACATTTCGAAAAGGAGCCGCCCTCCATTCGTGAAGCGTTTGCAAAACTTGTATGACGAAAGTGCGTTGCGCTACGGCGAGACCCACATTTTGAAAATCACCCGTTCTCCATTCGCGAACCTCTTGCATTTTTCTAAAAGTAATGTGTGCGTCGCTACACCGATATCCGCATTTTGGAAACAACCTGTCTTCAATTCGTGAAGTTATTGCATTTTTGAAGACGGATGTGCGCGGCGCCAAGGCGAGGACCATATTTTGAGCACCGTCCCGTCTCCATCCGTGAAGCTGTTGCAAAAAAGGCGACCCGCCCTCAGTCCGTAAAACTTTGGATAGTTTTAATATTCATGATCATCAGTGGTGTGTATGTCTGAGGCGAAACGCCTGGCCCTCCCTTCCGATTGGGTTCGGGGTGCGACAAGGAGGAATTACTTATAAGGGCAATAGTGGAGGACCAGTGTAAATGCAAGAGTCAGCATCGATATTGCGATCAACCCTTTCTCCAACTTCCCTCTTCACACGCACTTGCAACGATTCAGTGTCACTGAGTGAGGTGCCCCGTTGGAAGACAACCGTTTGAAAATCCGGAACCGTGTAAGAACACCATTCCTGGGACTTCAGCGCCGCGAATCACTGAGACTGTTACGTCTTGACGATCCATAGTCTTGCCAGAACAACATTCGTGGGATTTCAACACTGCGACTCAACGTGACCGTTGCGCCCTGACATTCCGACATAGTGTTAGAACACCATGTCTGGGACGTCCACCATAAGAATGTTCGAAATCGTTGCAAGCTCTTGAGACGCATGTGCGCGGTGCTTATGCGAGAACCGCATTTTGAAAAGGAGCCGCCCTCCATCCGTGAAACTTCTGCGATCTTTTTCGACGAATGCGCGCGGTGCTAAGGCGAAAGCCACATAACAAACCGTCTGCCGTCCATCCGGAAACTGCGCGGTGCTGTAAGGCGAGAGCCACATTTTGAACCCGATCCGCCTTCCATCCAAATAAATGGTGAACATAAGTGGTGAGGAAGTCCCACGCGAAACGCCCAGTCCGCCCTTTCGGTTGCTTCGGGGGGCACACGGAAGAGTTATTCATAAGGAGAAATGGACGTGGACGAGGAGGAGGAGAATGAGGAGGAGGAGGAGGAGGAGGGGAAGGAGGAACAGAAATAGTAATGATAAGTAACACTAATAATATTAATGATACTAATACGGTTACTACTACTACTACTACTACTACTACTACTACTACTGCTACTGCTACTGCTACTACTACTACTACTACTACTACTACTACTACTACTACTACTACTACGACTACTACTACTACTACTACTACTACTACTACTACTACTACTGCTACTGCTACTGCTACTGCTACTGCTACTGCTACTGCTACTACTACTACTACTACTACTACTACTACTACTACTACTTATCATAATATTAATGATAATAATAATGATGATACGAATAATGATAATAATAATACTAATCACAATAATACTAAGAATGATACTATGACGAATGATAATAATACTACCAATAATAATAATGATCACAATGGTAATAATGATAAGAATGATATTCATAACCAGAATGATAATAATACTAATGAGAAAATGAAGGAGGAGGAGGATGAGTCTGTTACACGCTCCTTCTAAGTCCTTTGCGCCAGCAGTGTTCTGCAGCCCCCGGGCGACGTCGAATTCCGAGTACAAAGCCTCGGGGCGGCCGCGCGGGCGGTGCTGCAGGCGAGGTGCCCAGGGCGGGACGTCTGCTCGCGTCGCCCGTCGTCCAGGGGAGCACCAGGAAACCCAATGCACCGGGCTGGCCGCCAGAAAACTCCCACCCAGAGAGTCGAACACTTCCGTTTGGGAGGTCGAGCCTCCATCCAGGAGGCAAAGGGCCTCGTGAGCGAAAGAGGGATATTTCCAGCATGGAGGCCGAGCCTCCTTCCTGGAGGGCTTGTCGTCCTCTGGGCAGGCTCGACGGCGCACCCGCGCCGACGACGCCAGGCCATCTGTAGGGGCGTGATGAGAAGCTCGCGCGCCTCGCGCGTGACAACCTTTTTGGCGACCGCGCTGTCCACTCGCCCCCCTCGGCGTCCTTGCTTTCTCTTCCTTCTCGTTCGTGGCTGTTGCTTAGCAATGTATGGAGTCCCCTTCCCCTCAGTGGTGAAGCTTGGTTTGTTGAAAAACAAACCGGACCCACGAACGCGGAAAGGGTTTTATAGTTGCGAGGTATGGGAACGTTTCCAAGCACTTCAATTGGGCGATGGGCAGTGGCAATGCTGAATATATCAATTGCGGTGATACTGTGCCAGGGGCTGTGTGGTGCTGCTCTGCGCTGTGACGCGCCGCACAATGACGTGCCAGGGGACGCGCCACGGAACGTGCCAGTGGAAGTGGAAGTGTCGCGCGATGTGCCAGGGGGAGCGCCACGGGATGCGCCACGGGTCGTGCCAGGGGGACGCGCCACGGAACGTGCCAGGGGACGTGCCAGGGGACGCGCCGCGCAACGTGCCCAGGGGACGCCCCATGGAACGTTCCAGGGAACGTGCCCGAGGGTCACGACCCCTCGTAAATGACGCTGCGTCTGCGCTCCCAGGGCCAATATCCTTCGTGAATTACATTAGGTTCGCGCTCCCAGGGCCGCGTTCTTTTGTAAAGTACGCTGCGTCCGCGCTCCCAGGGCCAGGATCCCTTGTAAACGACGCGGCGTCCGCGCTCCCATGGCCACGATGCTTGGTAAATAACGGTGCGTCCGCTTCGCATTGTTTGATACGAGGGTTAACGGGGCTCTGCGGACTTCGTTACGTTCTGAGGATCCGAGATGGGGGCACGCTTTCCTCGAGCGGGGACGCGAGAAAATCGTTTCTTCTACACCACATGCGGCTCTACTTGGTTGTTGATCGAGCGGAAGTTCGCTGGCCCACCCCCAGCATGGCTCTGGGGGACTGATCCACCAACTGCGGCTACGGGAGAACTCTGGGCCGACGCCGCCTCCGGGAATGAGTGAGCTCGCGCGCCGCGGCAGGCGCCCGACCGCCCCGGCGCTGCGCGCCGCTCTGCCCTGCAGGGCGCGCCGCGCCCCGCTGCCCAGGCCGCAGCGCTGCCTGGGCAGCTGGGCCCGCCGCGCGGCGGTGCTCTGCAGGACCCCAGGACGCACCGACGGAGCCCCAAGAGGCCGTCAAGAGGGTCCAGCGAGCCTCGAGTCGCTGAAAGCTGCTCGAGGGCGCCCTGGGTGTGCCCCAAAGCTGCCCTGGCAGCCTCCGAGGTGCCCCAAGAGGCCTTTCACGAGAGCACCGAGAGCCCTCGAGCCCGCCGCGCGGTGGTCAGAGCGCGCCGCGAGGCCGGCGCCAGGACGGCTGGTCGCGCCACGCGGCGCGAGGCGCGGGGCGCGAGGCGGCACACGTCGCGCCGAGGAGCTCGGCAGGCCGCCGCGCGCCGACGCCGGGCAGGCACGCGCTCCAGGGAGGCGCCCAGAGCGCGCCAGAGCCGCCACCGGCGGGAGCGGCGAGCCGCTCCGCCGTTCGGCTCGAGGCTCGGACCCGCTCGAGCACATCCGGGGCAACTCCAGGGCTGAGGGGGTCGTCTCAGGGGGGTGTTTTGGATGGGGTTAGGCTGGGTTCGAGGTTTTTGGCCGTTTTCGTTGGTTCTCGGCGGTCTTCTTGACCCTTGATGCTCTCCAGTAGCTGCGCCTCGCCGAGAGCGTTCCGGTGGGGCCAGGATCGTCCCCAACGACCGCTTGAGAGCCGAGTTCTGATCCGAGAACCAAATGGGGACATCACGGGGGGGCGATAGGCTCAGGGAGGGATGCATTAGCCCCCGAACTCCGATGGGGGCCGCTCTGCTAGCCCACCTCGCCCAGGACCGTGCGGTTTCGATTCCGAGGGTCTATCGCCGATCTATCGGCGACGCATCGCCGATTCCAGGTCGATGTTCCCCCCCCCCCCTTGAGCCAGGTCCCCCCCTAACGTTTCCCCCTCAGCACGGCAAGGGTGCAGCGGGGGTCGTGCGACGTCCCCGCCGAGCTCGCACAGCCCACTGCCCACCACCTCGGTAGGTACAGTATCTGCATCTTCGTCACCACCATCGTCACCCCCTTTGCCACACCGTCGCCACCACGGTCGAACCAACATCTGCATCGAACACACCGTCGCCACACCGTCGCCACCAAAATCACCGTCGCCACACCGTCGCCACACCGTGGAACCAATACACCCCGTCGCCACACCGTCGTCACCAGTAGCCGCATCGAGCACACCGTCGTCTAAGCACCCCGCGCCACCCCCGGCGCCCCGCGCCCGCCCGCGAGGCCCGAGGGGCGAACCCGCGGCACGTGAGGTTCCCCGAGCTGCAGGCGGGCCCCATGCCCTCTCGGCGCGTGAGGGGGCTCTTCAGTCAAGGCACCGATGTCTCAACTGGTTCTCCTCTGATCCTCCTGCTCCTCCTCCTCCTCCTCCTCCTCCTCCTCCTCCGCCTCTTCTCCTCCTCCTCCTCCTCCTCCTCCTCCTCCTCCTCCTCCTCCTCCTCCTCCTCCTCCTCCTCCTCCTCCTCCTCCTCCTCCTCTCCTCCTCCTCCTCCTCCTCCTCCTCCTCCTCCTCCTCCTCCTCCTCCTCCCTCCTCCTCCTCCTCCTCCTCCTCCTCCTCCCCCTCCCCCTCCTCCCCTCCCTCCCTCCCTCCTCCTCCCTCTCCTCCTCCTGCTCCTCCTCCTCCTCCTCCTCCTCCTGCTCCTCCTGCTCCTCCTTCTCCTGCTCCTCCTGCTCCTCCTGCTCTTCCTGCTCCTCCCTCCTCCTGCTCCTCCTCCTCCTCCTTCTCCCCTCCTGCTCCTCCTCCTCCTCCTCCTCCTTCTTCTCCTCCTCCTCCCTCCTACCCCTCCTCCTCTCCCTCCCTTCCTCCCTCCGTCCTCCTCCTCTCTCCTCCTCCTCCTCCTCTCCCCTCCTCCTCCTCCTCCTCCTCCTCCTCCTCCTCCTCCTGCTCCCTCCCTCGCCTCTCTCCTCATCCTCCCTCCTCCTCATCCTCCTCCTCATCCTCCTCCTGCTCCTCCTGCTCCTCCTGCTCCTCCTCTTCCTCCTCCTCCTCCTCCTCCTCCTCCTCCTCCTCCTCCTCCTCCCTCCTCCTCTTCCTCCTCCTCCTCCTCCTCTTCCTCCTCCTCCTCCTCCCGCCCCCAATCTACCTCCCCCCTTCCTCACCTCCATCCCTCCTTTCAGCGTTCTGCGGGAGGCATCCACAGTCAAGACGACGGCACAAGTAACCTTTGGGGCGCAGGAGGGACTGCTTTTCGGACCCTTCCCTGGATCTAGGTCGGGGGACCTGTTCGTGGCCAAGGCTGCTCGTGGCCAGAAGAGCCCCTTCGTTCCCGATGCAGCTTTCCCTACGGTGGCACGACTGCTGTATTCGAAGGGGAAAACGGCACACGCATAAACGTCTGCATTTCCGTGCGGACTTTTGATAGACCATGCTTCTGCAGTTCCACTTCCTCTTTTATCGATGCACCACCACCGTGCCTGGCAGCAGGGCCAACCCTGGGCCCTGGACTGGCTCTGGCCCGGAGGGCGCAGTCGCCACGCCAGGGCCCAGGATGGCCCTGGCCAGGCATGGTGGCCGTGAGCCAGGTCTGCCCTCTCCTCCCCCCCCTCTCTCGTCGTGGCCCCTGCCCCTCCCGCCTCCCGGCCTCCCCGCACTGGCGCCCGTCCTCCCCCTCCCGCTCGATTGGGTGCGACTCCCCCGAGTGCCGAGGAATGCATGGTGGCGAGACGACCCCACCGCGAGGCATGCTTTTCGAATGTACATGACCACCGGCGATGTACATGCGATCGCATGTTCAGAGTCGTGTTGTGATTCCGCAGTAGCGCTATCCAGTGATGCCATCGCTATCGGGGAAGAGTCCCCCATCGTATGTCACAGCGAGGCGGAGGATCTCACTGGCACGTCACCTGACCAACTTCGTCACCGAGCATCCTCATCACCATCGGAGGGCTACGGCCTTGCCGCCGCGCTCCGAAGGGGCCGTCCTCTGGAACGTATTCGGTGCTCCGCTTCGCTCCGCTCTGCTATCCAGTGCCACATTGCACAGGGTTCCTCTCATGCTTGCTGTCTGAGTCGGCCACAATCGGCTGATTGCGGCAGCTTCGAAGCACGGAGCCATCCAGGGAATAACACTTCTGATTGATGGTTGGGCGTGCTTGTGTCTCTGTCCTCTCGATACAGATCGGTGCCGCACTGCGCACAGCACAGCTCAGGCACAGCAACGGCCGTGACCACCTCAGCGATCGTGAGCACCACCGTGGCTGCGAACACCACGGCGCCTCAGAGCACCACAGGGCGGGTGAGCGCACCCGTGCCTTTGAGCAGCGGGTGGGCCGAGGGCACAGCCCGCCATCCGCGGATCCCTCCAGTCCTCCACCAAGCGGGGAGGCGTTGGAAGGAGCGTGGAGGAGAGTGTCGGGCGCGGCCAAGAGGGGGGTGATGACTAGCGGGGGGTGAATATCATGGCGGGGGCTATGATATCTCCCCAGATTTCATGCCATCTCTTCTTCTTTCATCACGCCCCTGGCCCCCCCTTGGACCGCGCACGTGCCGCCGGCCATGGTTTGCGCCCCGTCTTGGACGCCCCCGAGAGTGGAAGAGTGGGGGGGAGTGAGAAGTGAGGAAGTGAGGAAGTGAGGAAGTGTGTGTGTGTGTGTGAATACACGATTGGCCCACGAACCCAGAAAGGGAATTAGAACTGTGAGGCCAGGGGACGCTTCCACGAATGGTGGTTCTACTGTGCCAGGGGCTGTGTTGTGCTGCTCTGCGCTGTGCCGCGCCGCACAGTGACGTGTCATGGGACGCGGCACAGAAAGTGCCAGTGGACGTGCCCGGGGATTCCCCGCGCGATGTGCCAGGGGGACACGCCACGAGACGCGTCACAAAACGTGCCAGGGGGACGCGCCACGGATCGTGCCAGCGGACGTGCCAGGGGACGTGCCAGGGGACGTGCCAGGGAACCTGCCAGGGGACGCGCCGCGCGACGTTCTCAGGGGAGGCGCCAGGGAGCGTGCCAGGGAACGTGCCCCAGGGTCACGATCTCTCGTAAATTACGCTGCGTCCGAGCTCCTGGTGCTAAGATTCCTAGTGGATTACGCTGCGCCCGCGCTCCCAGGGCCACGAAGCACTCCGCGGAGGTTGCTCGGATCAGCCCCCCCTCGCCAGAGAAGAAAAACACTGCTTGTCTGCATTGGGATCTGTATTCGGGTGGCGCTTTCCTGCCCCCCCCGCCGATTCCTGAAAATTCGGGCCGGATCCAAAGGCGCGAATCCTTGTAAATTACGTTTCGCGCTCCCAAGGCCGCGATCCCTCGTAACTTACGCTGGGTTCGCCTCCCAGGGCCACGATCCCTTGTAAATTACGTTGGCTTCGCGCTCCCAGGGCCGCGTTCCTTCGCAGTTTACGCTGGAGTCGCGCTCCCAGGGCCACGATGCCTTGCAAATTGCGCTGCGTCCGTGTTCCCAGGGCCACGACCCTTGTAAATTTCGGGGCGCCCGCGCTCTCGGGGCTACGATCCCTTGCAAATTGCGCTGCGTACGCGCTCCCAGGGCCACGATCCTGTAAGCTTTACGGCGCCCGCGCTCCCAGGGCCACGATCCGCTGTAAATAACGGTGCCTGCGGACTCTCAGGGTCACGATCCATGGCAAATGACGCTGCGCCCGCGCTCCCAGGGTCACGATCCCTTGTGAATGAGGCTGCGCCCGCTCCCCCGAGGATGCAGTCCATCGAAAACTGCGCTGCGCCCGCGCTCCCAGAGCCACAATCCTTTGTGAATTGTGCGGCATCCGCGCTCCCAGGGCCAGGATCCAGCGTAAGTTGCGCAGTGTCTGCGCTCCCAAAGCCAGGATCCATATTACGATATGCAGTGTGCCAGGATCCATTGTAAATTACGATGCGCCCGCGCTTCCAGGGCCAGGATCCATCGTAAATGGCGCGGCGTCCGCGCTCCTATGGCCACGATCAATTGTACATAACGTTGCGACCGACATGCTCGAGAATTCAGCGCGCAGGACGCGCCGTCCTCGAGAGGGCACGCAAGACGTCAGCAATGTTTGATTTTCGGTAGATTTGTAAGGCCTCCAGACCTTGTTATACATCGAGAAACCTACGCAAAACGCTCCGAACTTTTTTTCCCAAACCATCCTGCGCTTTTGGGTCTTCGTTATGGCGCTTCGTGGCCCATAGGGAGCCCAACCGAAGGCCCCAGTGGCAAAGTTCGCATGCGTCTCCCCCACCCAGTACAGCAGCAATTCGTGGTCCATAGGGAGCCCCACCGAAGGCCCCAGTGGCAAAGCTTGCATGCGTCTCCCCCACACAGTACAGCGTTTCGTGGACCATAGGGAGCCCCACCGAAGGCCCTAGCGGCAAAGTTCGCATGCGTCTCCCCCACCCTGTACAGCGCTTCGTGGTCCATAGGAGCTTCACCGAAGGCCCCAGTGGTAAAGGTCGCATGCGTCTCCCCCAACCAGTACAGCGTTTCGTGGTCAATAGGGAGCTCCACCGAAGACGAGACATACTGCTGCGGTGTTCACAACTTCATATGGTTGGGTCCTTCGCTGGGCTAATTTACTATGGAAAACGGGTGTCAGCGGACCCGATTATTTATCGAGGATCCGAGATGGGGGGCGCACTTTCTTCGAGCGGGCACGCGCGAAACGCATTTCGTCTACACAATATGTGACTTTACTCAGTTTTTTTTCGAGCGGAAATTCGCCGGCCCTGGTCCAATACAGTTTGCAAACTAAAAGAGAGTCCTTGGCCCGAGCCCTTTCCGGGATGAGGTAAAGAGAAGTGTGGATGAGTGCAGAGGAGTGCGGGAGAGAGAGGATGATAAGGGAGGAGGAGTCTGGAGGAGGGTGGAGTAGGGAGGAGGAGTCCGGAGGAGGACTGGAGAAATCGGGACGATCGTATTTGGGAGGCTGGGAGGAATGGGTAGTAGGGCGGAGGACGGGAGCATTGCATCAGACCAGGGAGGGGTGCGACGAAGTTGGGAGGAACAGGGAGGAATGCGGAGGTGTAACGAGGAGGGAGGAATTTTGGTGATGGGTACGCGTTATTGGACGGAATGAGGAGGATTGCGAAGGAGGGCGGATGAGTCCAGAGGAGGGCGGAGGAATCGGGAGAATGGATTCGGGAGCGGGAAGGAGGGCGGACGACATAGCAGGATCATGTAGTGGAGTGGAGAGGGCAGGATAGCAGGGAGGGGGAGACCACCTGTCGCACCACGCGTCACCGCACGTTCGGAACAACACTGGGCGGGCTGAAAGTTCCGCAATCTTTCATCTCGGCGAAATATCATGGCTTTCGAGTGATGTTTAGTCAGGGGGCTTTTTGGGTGCGTTTTGCACGATTCCTGAGGCGTTTCTGATGGACGTCCAGGAGGATCCATAGATGACGGTTAGGTGGTTCCGAGGTGCCGGTAAATCATGAGGGGAGGGTGAGCCGTATTGGAGGATGAAAGATGCAAGCGCGAGTGCGCCCGGGGCTACATGACCGCACACTTTTGAACGTTCCGAATGAGGTCACCCCAGGTTTTTGCATCCCACCTGCAGAAGGGTACTTCAGGATGGGACAATGATGAGGTTCCGAGTATCTGCTCCAGAAGACCAAGGCTTGTCACCACATGCCAGGCTACAGCACCTCGCTATTTTGCCCATATGTTGATCATTTTGAATCTAATTTTGAATGTTGATGACTGGGCGCAGGAGGTGGTTGTCAATGAGTATGAGGAGAAGCTTGACCGCATCCTCCTCATCAAGGCGCTCTGTAAATATTTTGTACCTTTGTATCTCAATGGCTCTCCATGTGCCTGCCAACTTTCAGTATACGGCGGCAAGATGGTATCGCTTCATTTCCCAATCCTCCTGTGCTCTTGGGTGCTTGTTTTCTCTCCGCTGCGCGCGCGTCCCGTCCTCCTTCCTCCTCCCTCTTCATCCTCCCCTTCCTGCCGCTGCTGCTGTTGCGCTGTTTGCCGCATGCAGCTGCTCATTTCAGCACGCCCGTGCCTCATAGGGAGCTCCTTTCTGGCCCCGGTGGGAGGTCGCATGGCACTACTCCCGCAGATCGCATCCCGTAGGGACCTCCATTTCTGACCCAGTGGGACGACTCGCACGGCGTTGCATTGCCCTTCTCGGCACACCCGTCACACAGAGTGCCCCATACGGAGCTCCACCTTTGGCCTCGGTGGGCGGCTACGCATGGAGGAGTTGTGTCTCGACGCGCCCCTCACATGAATCACATTGGAAGCTCCACCTTTGGCCTCAGTGCGTGGGTTCGAAAGGCTTTGCCCCACCTTCCTCGGTACGCGTGCTCATGATAGCTCCACCCTTGGCCCTCTGCAAGAAGGTTTGGAACTGCTGCGCCCATTCCGGCAAACCCCTCGCGCGGATCATTCGCCAGAGGGATATATTTCATGTTTGGCTGTTTGGCCCAAGTGGCGGGTTCGCATGGGGTTACCCCTCTCACGTCGGCACACCCCACACGGATCCTCACACGGATCGTGCCCCATAGGGAGCTCCATCTTTGTATTCAGTGCGCGGGGCGCGGGTTCGCATGTCGTTGCCCCGCCGCCCATCTCGGCATTTCCCTCACGCGGGTCGTGCCCCATAGGGAGCTCCACGTTTGGGAGAGCTCGCATGGCGTTGCCCAAACCATGTTGGTAGCCCCTTCACACACATCGTGCCTTGTATGGAGCTCCTCCTGTGGCCTTTGGCCCCAATGGGAGGGTTCGCATGGCGTTGCCCCGCCCGTCTCGGCACACCCCTCACGCGGGCCGTTCCCCACGGAGCTCCAGGCCCAATTGGGAAGATTCTCACGGCCTGGTGCTTCTCGCTTCGGTGCAACGCTCATAAGGATCGTGCCCCATGTAGGGCGCGTTTGCGTGCGAGCGACCGAGCCCGCTTCGTGCTTCCTAATGCGAGGGCTATTCCTTGCGTCACCCACGTATGTGAAGCGTGGTGCCCTTCGCCAGGATCATTCTCGTTTGCGCAGGATGCTGCTGTCCTGCCTCTGGTCCACAGAGACCGTATGTGTTCTCTTCTATCTACCCCACTCTAAACATAACCTTTCGAATTGTTCGCGCGCGTAGAGCAATTTGTACTGTTTGGAATCGAAGGGTCGCCGTGCTTGTCTGGAAACCAAAGCAGACCCTTGGCGGTGACGGAGTGGATCTGTGTTTCTACAGCGCAATACAGAAAACCCCGCGCACGCGAACGCGGGGGGTCGACCACGGTCACCCGCCTGCGTGCTCGCGTAGAGCGTTCTGTATTGGTTGGAATGGGAAGGTCGCCGAGCTGGTCTGGAGACTAACGTGATCCCTGAGCTGTGACCACTTGGATTTTTACAGCGCAATGCAGAAAACTCCGCGCAAACGGGCGCGGGGGGTTGATCATGGTCACCCGCCTGCGTGCTCGCGTAGAGCATTTTGTATTTTTGGATTTCCAAGCTAACATGTGTCATTTTGTAGGTGCTTCTACAGCGCAATGCAGAAAGCTCCGCGCAAACGAGCGCTGGGGGGGGGACCATGGGGGGACCCTGCACTTTTTTGGAACGGAGCGGTCGCCGTGCTGATCGGGAAACTTTAGCGCAGCCATAGCGGTGACCGATTCGATTTCCAAGCTGACATGTATCATGTTATATGTGTTTCTACAACGAAAAAGTAGAAAACTCCGAATGCGAGAGCGGTGTGTGTGTGTGTGTGTGTGTCTGTGTGTGTGTGTGTGTGTGGGGACCATGGTCACCTGCCGCCGTGCTCGCGTGGAGCACTTTTGTGTTCTTTGAATTGGAAGGGGTGACGTACTGGCTTGGAATCTAAAATGAATCCTTCTAGCGGTGACCGGTTTGATTTTCAAGCTAACATGTGTCATTGGGTATGTGTTTTTCCTGCGCATGTAGAAAGCTCCGCGCAAGCGAGCGCGGGGGTGGTGACCACGGTCACCCGCCTGTGTGCTCGCGTACAGCAGTCTGTATTGTTTGACATGGAAGGATCGCTCTGTTGATTTGAAAGCTAGATTGGACTTCCAAGCTGACATGTGTCATTTTGCAGGCGGTTTTTCAGCACAGTGCAGAAAACCCAGCGCACGCGAGCGCGGGCGGATGACCATGGCCACCCGGCTGTGTCTTCGCGTAGAGCGTGGATGGAAAGGTCGCCGGGAAGATCTGGACGCTAAAGTGAACCCTTAGCTGTGACCGATTGGATTTCCAAGCTAACGTGCGCATTTTTGTTGCACGTGTTTCCACCGCGCAATGCAGAACGTTCCGCGCAAGCGAGCGCGGGGTGACGGTGGTGGTGGCCATGGTGACCCGATTGCGTGTTCGCGTAGAGCATTCTGTATGTTTTAGAATGGAAAAACGTTGTGCTGGTCTGGGAACTACAGTGAATCTTGAGCGGTTACCGATTGGCGTCACGAGCTGACCTGTGCCATGTTCTATGCGTTTCTGGCAGCATCTTACCGCCAGCTTCCAGCCACTTGTACAACGAATGCTGTCGTCCGTCGTCTGTCGTCGTCGGTCGCCGCCGTCCTCGCCGGTCGTCCTGTCTGGTTGATTGTCTTGCTGGCTGCTGGAGGGCTGGCTCGTTGGCTCGCTAGCTGGCTTGTCGTCGCATGCACTCGGAGGCGAACGTTTCGTCGTCGTCGTCAGTCGCTGCCCGTCGTCGTCGTCGTCGTCGTCGTCGTCGTCATCAGTCGACGTCGTCGTCGACCTTGTTGCCGCCGTCATTCGTCGTCGTCGTCGTCGTCGTCGTCACTCGTCGTCGTCGTCGTCGTTGTCGTCGTCGTGGTCGTCGTCGTCGTCGTCACTCGTCGTAGCCCGACGCGGAGGCGGGCGCGGCGGGCCAGCCCGCCACGCGGCGGCATCATTTGGGAGCGGCCTTGGTAGTCGTCGTTGTCGGTCGTCCGTTTTCGTCGTCGGTGGTCGTGGTCCTCCTCGTCGTATTCGTCGTCGGCGGTCGTATCGTCGTGGGTCGGTCGTCGTCGTTGTCGTCGTCGTTGTCGTCGTCGTCAATCGTTGTCGTTGTCGTCGTGAGAGCCCCTTGGTCATCAGTCCATCAGTCGTCGCCGTTGTCGTCGTGGGAGCCCTTTGGTCGTTGGACGACTTGGAACCATCTTGGGGTATTCTTAGGGCCCTCCTGGAGCTCTTTTCGGGGGGGGGTCGGTATCGTCTTGGAAGGTTGGAGGGTTTTCGGGCCCTCTTGAGGCCCTCTTGGAGCTTTTTTGGGGCCGTGGAGCTTCTTGGGGCGCCTTTGGGGCGATCCTGGGCGGACTTGAAGCCGTTTTGGGGCCCTCGAGGGGGCCCCTCAGGAGGTTTCAGAGTTCCAGTGGATTCGTTAAGGCGTCCATGGCGGTTTCGGTGGCCGTCGTGGCCGTCGTGGCCGTCATGGCCTTGTTGGCCGTGGCGGCCGTGGTGGCCGTGGCGGCTGCGGTGGCCGCGGCGGCCGTGGTGGCCTTGGTGGCCGTTGTCGCCGAGATGCCTTCTCTGGTGCCTTCTGGGACCATGGGGGGGCCCTGATCACGCGGATCTGTCTCGAGGCCGCCGCTGGCTGCCGCACTTCTGGCAGGTCCACCGCAGGCTGGGACCATCTGTCAGACCAACCTCCGTCGCCGTCGCGCCGCGCGGGGTGTGAGTGTGTGTGTGTGGTGGAAAAAGCTATGCACCTGTCGCGGCCCCGCCAGCCGCTGTCGCACCGTCGGCCTAGCCATCATGTGCAGTTCTGCGCTGGCCATCTGTCTGCCGCCCCCCGTCGCCGTCGCACCGCGCGGATGTTAGGAACCAGGTAACGGGTCCATCTGTCGCGGCCCCGCCGTTCGTTGTCGCACCGTCAATCCACCTGCGTGATTTATGCTGTCTGCCTGTCCGGCCTCCCCCTCGTCGCCGTCGCCCCCGAAACACTGCGCGTCACACATGCATGGGGTGAACTGTCCACGGCGCGCCGATCGCACGTCGCACAATTTATTCAATTGATTGATTGATTTCTGAAGTGGTTCGTGCGGCGAGAGATTGTTTTTGCGCATTTGTCCACGACGGGCCCGTTGCCGCCGCACTGAGGAGATCTGGTCGGGGCGGATCCCCTCACCCCTCTGGTGTCGAGGAAGTGCCAGGCCTGCCACGCGTTGCAAGCGTGGGGCGGATAAAGCTCGCACCCGCTGCGCACCCCCTCTGGTGTCGATGAACTGCCACGCCTGCCACGCGTCGCAAGCGTGCGACGGATAGAGGCCGCACCCCTTGCGCACTCCCTCTGGTGTCGAGGAAGTGCCACGCATGCCACGCGTTGCGAGCGTGCGACGGATAGAGACCGCAGCCGGTGTCGAGGAAGTGCCACTCTGCGTGTTTGTGTGCGTTTACTCTTCCGCTAGCACAGTCACTCTGCCTAGCCGCCGACGCAAAACAAATGTGTGCGTTTGGCTGTGCATCTGGTTGTGTTGTGTTGCGTGCGTCTGGCTGTACGTGCACGCGTGTCTCACGCGCGCGCACCCCTTGCGCACTCCCTCTGGTGTCGAGGAAGCGCCACGCATGCCACGCGTTGCGAGCGTGCGACGGATAGAGACCGCACCCGCTGCGCACCCCTCTCCCTCTTGTGTCGAGGAAGTGCCACGCCTCCCAGGCGTTGCGAGCGCGCGACGGATAGAGACCGCACCCCCTGCGCACCCCCGCTGGTGTCGAGTAAGTGCCGCGCCTGCCGCGCTTTGCGAGCGTGCGACGGATCGAAACCGCACCCCCTGCGCACCTCCTCTGGTATCGAGAGAGTGCCACGCCTGCCACGCGTTGCGAGCGTGCGACGGATAGAGACCGCACCCCCTGCGCACCCCCGCTGGTGTCGAGGAAGTGCCACGCCTGCAACGCTGTGCGAGCCCGAAACGGATAGCGACCGCACCCCCAGCGCACCCTTCTGTGGCATCGAAAAGTGCCGCGCTGTGAGATGTGCGTCAGGCTGTGTGTGGACGTGTGTCGCATGTGGGTGCCCGATATTTGGTCTATAAGTCTTGGGTGTATGATGCAATGATCACGCTGGGTGCACTAGCGTTGTGTGTGGTGTGTGTGTATGTGTGTTGAGTGTTGTGTGTGTGTGTGTTGTGTTGTGTTGTGTGTGTGGCTGTGCGTGTGGCTGTGCTTGTGCGTGTGCGTGTGCGTGTGCGTGTGCGTGTGCGTGTGCGTGTGCGTGTGCGTGTGCGTGTGCGTGTGCGTGTGCGTGTGCGTGTGCGTGTGCGTGTGCGTGTGCGCGTGCGTGTGCGTGTGCGCGTGTGCGTGTGTGTGTGTGTGTGTGTGTGCGTGTGCGTGTGCGTGTGCGTGTGCGTGTGTGTGTGTGTGTGTGTGTGTATGTGCGTGCGTGCGCGCGTGCGTGCGCTTGCGTGCGGCTGTATGTAGACGCGTGTCTCATGTACGTGCCGTGTATGTGTTGCGCGTGGGTGAGGGGACGAACGAGGAGGAGGGGAAGGGGGAGGTGGGGAAGACGCGGGTGCGACGCGGGTGGGAAGAAAACCACAACCCACGAAACAGGTTGAGGAACAAACCCTGGACCTGCGCCCTTTCTGGGAAACATGAACGACCCACGCACCCGGAAAAGGGATTGAGAATTGCGAGGCATGGAACCGTTTCTAAAGACTTCAATTGCAGATGCAATTGGGCGATGACAAGGGGGCATGTCAGGGGGACGCGCCGCGGAACGTCCCAAACGACGCGCCAGGGGACGTGCCAAGGGACGTGCCAGGGGACGCACCGCGGGACGTGCCAAGGGGACGCGCTTCCGAACGTGCCAAAGGACGTGCCACGGGACGTGCCAGGGGGCGCGCCGCGCGACGTGCCAGGGGGATTCGCCACGGGACGCGCCACGGAACGTGCCAGGGAAGGTGCCAGGCGACGCGCCAGGGACCGTACCAGGGAACGCGTCAGGGAACGTGCCACTGGACGTCTCTGACCCAGGACCACGATCCTTGGTAAATTACGTTGCGCTCGCTCTCACTGGGCCACGATCCCTCGTAAACTACATCGCGTCTGCGCTCCCAGGGCCGCGCTTCCTTGTGAATTGCGATGTGTCCGCGCTCCCAGGGCCACGTTCCCCAGTAAATCATGCTGTGTCTGCCCCCCCAGTGCCACGATCCATAGTAAATTACTTTGCGTCCGCGCTCCCAGGGCCACGATCCCTTATACATTACGCTGCGTGCGCTTTCCCTGGGTCACGATCCCCAGTAAACTACGCTGCGTCCGCGCTCCCAGAGCTGCGCTTCCTTTTGAATTGCGATGGATCCGCGCTCCCAGGGCCACGTTCCCCAATAACTCACGCTGTGTTCGGGCTCCCAGAACCACCTGGGCATCCTGGGGCGCCCAGGCCGCTCAAGTTCTGCAAAACAAGCGTTTCGCTCGAGACATCCTCAGACCTCGTGTTTTATCGCTGATTCTGCGCAGAACGCTCCGCACCCGTGTGTTTTTTTTACGGGGGGAAGCGTGTGTTTGCGGAGCCCGCCATTCATCGAGGATCCGAGTTAGGGCGCGAAACGCATGTTCTCCACGCAGAATTGGACCTTGCTTTTTTGTTTTCTATCGAGAACCATTCCGCCGGCCTCCTTCAAATCGAAACCGGGGGTAAACAATACTATAAGAGAACCTTGTGTCCCAGCCCTTCCTGGGAAAAGAACCTTGGACCTGCGCCCTGTCCTGGAACATGATCGACACACGAACCCGGAAAAGGAATCCATACATATATATATATATACATATATATATATATATATCTATATGTATATATAGAAATGTGGAATGTAGAAATGTAAGGCATGGCAGCGCTTTCAAAGACACCTGATTGGGCGACGGGCAAGTCCAATGCTGAGTGTATCTATCTTGATGTACCGTGCCAAGGGCTGCGCTGTGCTGCGCAGTGCTGAATTGCGATGTGCCATGCCGAGATTGTGCCCTAGAGCGTTTTGGATCGAGTCCTCCTTTGCATCCGAGTCCTGACCGAACCGATCTGGACCTTAAGCTCGAGCTGCCTGAGCACATAGTAGCTGCCCCAGAGCTACTTGACAGGGGGACATGCCAGAAGGACGCGCCGAAGAACGTCCTAAGGGACGCGCCAGGGGACGTGCCAGGGGACGTGCCATGAGGTCGCACAACGGGACGTGCCAAGGGGACGCGCTACGGAACGTGCCAGTGGACGTGCCACGGGACGTGCCAGGGGACGCGCCGCAACGTGCCAGGTTGCAGTGCCGAATGTATCGATCTTGATGTACCGTGCCGAGGGCTGTGCTGTGCTGCGCCGTGCTGAACTGCGATGTGGCATGCCGCGATTGTACTGTATAGCCTTGTGGATCGAGTCTTCCTTTGCATCCGAGTCCTGACCGAACCGATCTGGACCTTAAGCTCGAGCTGCCTGAGCACATAGTAGCTGCCCCAGAGCTACTTGACAGGGGGACATGCCAGAAGGACGCGCCGAAGAACGTCCTAAGGGACGCGCCAGGGGACGTGCCAGGGGACGTGCAATGGGGACGCACTGGGGACGCACCACGGGACGTGCCAAGGGGACGCGCTACCGAACGTGCCTGTGGACGTGCCACGGGGCGTGCCAGGGGACGCGCCGCGCGACGTGCCAGGGGGACTCGCCACGGGACGCGCCACTGAACGTGCCAGGGAACGTGCCAGGTTACAATGCTGAGTGTATCTATCTTGATGTACCGTGCCGAGGGCTGTGCTGTGCTGCGCCGTGCTGAATTGCGATGTGCCATGCCGAGATTGTGTCCTACAGCGTTGTGGATCGAGTCCTCCTTTGCATCCGAGTCCTGACCGAACCGATCTGGACCTTGCACATAGTAGCTGCCCCAGAGCTACTTGACAGGGGGACATGCCAGGAGGATACGCCGCGGAACGTCCCAAGGGACGCGCCAGGGGATGTGCCAGGCGACGTGCCATGGGGACGCACCACGGGACGTGCCAAGGGGACGCGCTACAGAACGTGCCAGTGGACGTGCCACGGGACGTGCCAGGGGACGCGCCGCGCGAACCCACCTGCGCATCCTGGGGCGACCAGGCCGCTCGAGTTCTGCAAATCAAGCGTTTTGCTCGAGACATCCTCGAAGCGTCTCGCTCGAGACATCCTCAAGATCTGGGCATGTGAAAACAAGCATTTCACTTGAGACATCCTCTGAATGCGGGTCCCCAGGAGAGGAGACGAAACAAGCTTTTTGCTTGATGTGTCCTCAAACAACTTTCCGCCGGCCCTATTCGACCTCGTTAGTTATCGCAGGAGAATTCCGCCGGCCCTCTTCAAGTCACAACCCGGGGGGGGAAACCTACTAAAGGAGAACCTTGGTCTCAGGCCCTTTCCCGGCAAAATTAGTCTCCTGGCGCAGGCGTTCAAGGTCGGACCCGCTCCGAGAACCCTTCTTGGGGCCCTGGGGCCCACAGGAAATCACCCACGGCGTGGAATCCACTTGGGGAATCTGGTCGATAGCGTAGAATGGGGGCTCGTGAGCGGAGATCGTTCAAGGTGGAGCGGTTCCCGCGGTGTCGGAAGCCGGGCTCTGCCGTGGGGCGATGGATTTTGGACCTGCCAGACATGCTGGCCCGAGCGACTGGTTTCGGGGGCGCAAATCCCAGTCGGGTTTGGGGCCATCAGATTTCTGCTAGCTTGTGGGGCACCCCAGTGCTGGCAACACCATCTGTTGCAGGTGAGGCCCGACGCTCTGCTTGGAAGCCAGGTGCTGCAGCCGAGCACGCGTGGGCGATGCAAGGAGTCGCGGCGTCCGACATAGTCGGCGCTAAGTCGTTGGTGGGAAGTGACCACCAGTCATAAGTACTTTTCATCACAGAAGCGCGCCTGGCTCCCAAGCCAATGGCCTTCTCGATCGAGGTATTTGATTTACTCTTCTGGAAGGAGGAAGCATGGTAGGAGCAGTGAGCGATTTTTGGTGAGGTGTCGGGGGACGTGGGGGGCGGGGGAAAGAGGCCATTGTTCATGCTGGCTCATCATCGTCATCATCTTCAGCATCATCATCAGCATCATCATCATCACCATCATCGCCGTCAACATCAGCATCTTCATGAATATCATCGTCACCATCATCATTAGCAGCAGCAGCAGCATCCTCATCCTCCTCATTATCTTCATCATCACCATCACCATTATCACCATTATCACTATTATCATCACCATCGGTATCATCATCATCTTCTTAATCTTCATCATCGTCATCAGCATCATCATCGCCACCACCATCTGCAGCAGCAGGAGCAGCAGCAGGAGGAGCAGCAGCAGCAGCAGTAACATCATCATCGTCATCATCGTCATCGTCATTATCAGTAGTATCATCATCATGATCATCATCATGATCATCATCATGATCATCATCATGATCATCATCATCATCATCATCATCATCATCATCATCATCATCATCATCATCATCATCATCACCCACCCACCCATCACAGATTTATGCCAGCTAGTATCACCATCGCGGGTGATCCCTCCCTCCTCAGGCCATGTGGGATGCCACGTCCGCGACCTTCGGCTCGGATGATAGCAAAGTCCAGTCGAAAGTGTACAATGCGCTTCACAAGGCTTACCAGGGCGCCCTGGACGAGTGCCCCCCCCTCCGATGTGTGTGCGCTGACTCTCCGCCAGCGTCGGGTGCCTCTCTGGGAGCGGGCGAGGGGCGGCGGGGACTCGTGAGCTGCCGTCGCGGAGCGCACTGTGGGCGTCGACAAAAGGAGCTTTCGTGGTGTGGAAGGGCTGTTTCTTCAACGCCAAGGCATGGGGTGCACGTTTTCTTGACGGGCAAGTGCGTGTAGTCGGACTGCAACCGTAATGTGTCGCGCACATGTCGGATGGGCGGGTCTTGAGGGGAGGAGGCAAACGCCGTGCTCAATACAGCATTGTCGCGAACCTCGGCCCCTATGCGCATGGCCCCTCGTGCACCACGTAACTTCTTTCCAGCTTGTCCGACGCACGCACACACAGTTTTGACTACGATGAGGGTTATTTATGCATGACTGTTACGATTTCGAAGCAGGGCGGAATCCAGGGTGATGGTGATGATGAGGAGGAGGAGGAGGGGGAGGGATGACAGATGAGGAGCAATTGGTAGAACCAGTTGGAGGTGGACGATGAGGAAGCGGAGGAGGAACACGAGATGAGGAGGAATCTGAAGGATAAGGCAAGTTCCAGATGTAGTGAACTAGCATGCCCAGACCTGAAATTCCGAGGTCGCTGCCATCTCTGGTGCTGTCGGGTGGCTATGAATCTTACTGTGCCCATGTGTCTTGTGACCGTCCTTCCAGACAGCCCGCTTGTGATGCTAATGATGGACGGTGATGGGTATGCTGATGCTGATGCTGACGCTGATGCTGATGCTGCTGCTGTTGCTGATTATTCTTTGCTGATGATAGTAATGATAATACTAGTACGAATAATATTATTAATCTGATGATGCTGAGGAGGAGGAGGAGGAGGAGGAGGATAGGTTGGAGGAGGGGGATAATGAGCAGGAGGAGGAGGAGAAGGAGGAGTCGAGTTGCCAGCGTAGCCGTTTTGGTAACAAGGCGCCACAGTACCATGGCCACTCTTATCCCTGGAGGCGGTGGGACGACGCCATGTGCGATAGGCGGAAGTGACGAGGAGGAAGAGGAGGAGGAGGAGGAGGAGGAGGAGGAGGAGGAGGAGGAGGAAAAGGAGGAGGAAAAGGAGGAGGAGGAGGAGGGGGAGGAGGAGGGGGAGGGAGGAGGAGGGAGGAGGAGGAGGAGGAGGAGGAGGAGGAAGGAGGAGGAGGACGCGCAGGAGGAGGAGGAGGAGGAGGAGGAGGAGGAGGAGGAGAGGAGGAGGAGGAGGAGGAGGAGGAGGAGGAGGAGGAGGAGGAGGAGGAGGCTTCTCTTTGCGGTCCGCGGGCTCGCCGACCACTTTTTGGGGCAGTGGTCGCCCGGGGGCTTCATGTCCCTTCTGCGGCCCGCGTTCCCAATGTTTGAATCCCCCCAAGCCACAGTGCCCCGATGCTACACCACGCCCACTGCACAGGTGCATGTGGCTGAGAGGGGTAGGCACTCACTGCTCGAGTCGGCATGTTCAGGGAGCGGGTGGGTAGGTAAGGGGAGGAAGGATTTTCGACCATTGCGCGTACGAGGCCCGCCTTGCTGCCGTTGTTGCTATCGTCGCGCCGGGGCTCGTCCGATCTTACCTGCAAAATCATACCCCAGCTCGCTTCAGTCAGGTGTATAATGGACTCCAGGCCGCTGGGGGATTTGGAGAAGGTGGAGATGTTTACCAAGCGGTGGGACGTGGTCCGCTTTTTGGGATCAGGTGTGCAGAATGGAGCACTTTCAGCACTCGGCGCTGTCAATTGTGAGCTAACGGTCCCTCGAGCTGGCCAGAACGTAACGTGCTCCGGTAGAGGGAAACAATTAGTGAACACCTCCCCTGCCCCCCAAATTCAAGGTTGGCACGCACGGGGGAGGCTGCGGTCGAGGCGCCACCCATCAGACCCTCCGCCAATTTTGAACAATGGGGGGAGGGGGAGGCGTTCACAGATGAATGTGGCATGAGTGTTCGCTATTTTTTCCGAGGCCTGTCGCAGTCAGTTGCGAGGATTACGTCACTCTCCAATGCGTCTGCATGAGAGCAACGAGGTGCTCGAACCTTTCGCATTTGCTGCGGGTCAGGGCTCAACGCGTGTGGTGAGGCACGGTAAGGCCGGCTCGAGGTGAGGCCACGTATCCAGAAGTTGGTTTGGAATTCCGTAACGGGTGAATTTCTCTGGAAGCTCACGCGAACAGCCCGAAGGCGCTACAAGGCGGGGCATCGCGTGGGGGGGGGCAGCAACAGCATACCTCATAGACCACCCTTCGGGTGATAAGGGTTTTTGAGGATTGAGCAAATTGCGTTTTCGAGGATTGAGCAACTTGCGTTCCTGGGGCCAGAAAAACAAATAATCACAATCAACTCAAGTTTTGAATTTGATACGTTCGGGTCCCCGACGATTTTCCGGAGCTTGGCCCCGTCGGTATTGCTTTCAAGCGTACACGAATTTTGCGGTGTGCGCAGGCGCTGTGGTGCATAAGGGGGGGCTGAAACAGTGGTTGTGGTGCACTCAGGCGCCGTGGTGTGCACAGATCGCGCGATGTACAAAGGCGTCGTGGTGCACGCGGTTGTTATGGTGTACACAGTCGCCGTGGTGCACACACACATACGATTTCTGTAGCAGCCCTGGTGCACAAAGGCATTGTACAGAGCCCGTGCTGTGTGCACAGGCGCTGTGGGCTTGGGCGGTGACGACGACGACGACGACGACGACGACGACGACGACGACGACGACGACGACGACGACGACGACGACGACGTTCACGACGACGACGACGACGTAGGCGGCGCGCCTCAGGGGGTGCGCGCCGCGGCCCACGTTACCGTTACCCCCCCCCCACGCCCACCCCCAGGTAACATGCGTTATTCCCCAGAAATAAACAGGGGCCTCCTTGTGTTTCGATTTTCAATTCGATTGCAATTCGATTCCACTTTGTTCGGGATGTCGATGTGTATTTGATGTGTAACCGGATCGCGATTCGATTTGAATTTCGATATGCACGTCGGTTTGGATACATATCTATATATTTAATCGCTTCGCTCATTCCGCCGGCCCATATTGTCGCACCGTTGTGGGCTAGCCGAGTTTTGGGGCCTCTTGGGGGCCGTTTTGGGGCCTCTTGGGGCCTCTTTTGGGCCTCTTGGGCGCCTCTTGGGGCGTCTTGGGGGCCTCTTGGGGGCCTCTTGGGGCCTTTTTGGGGCCTCCTGGGCGCCTTCTGGGGCGGAGGGCTCGATTTTTCAGTTCTCGGTTCCCCTCTTGAGCCCCTCTTGGGCCCGTCTTGGGGCCTCTTGGTCCGTCTTGGGCGGCACTTGGGCCGTCTTGGGGGCCCTCCTGGGCCGTTCCGGGGCCGTCTTGGGAGCCTCGTGGGCCGTCTTGGAGCGGTCTTGGGGGCCTCTTGGGCCGTCTTGGAGCGTCCGGAAGCCGAAAAAGCCAGAACGCAGAAAACATCGAAAAAACAATGAAAATCAACGATTTTAGCCTCTTGGGGCCCTCTTCGGAGGCCTCTTGGAAGGCCCTTGGGGCGTCTTGGAGGCCTCTTGGGCTGTCTTGGGGCCCTGTTGGGCGTCTTCGGGCGATCTTTGGCCGTCTCGGGGCCCTCTTGGACCGTCGTGGAGGCTTCTTGGGGACCTCTTGGCCCGTCCTGGGGCCCTGTAACAGGGCTCCGGCATCTCTGGCCCGACCTTGCCGCCCTGGTAGACAGCCGAAAACAAGAATAGACACTTTTAGAAATTCTGAGCTTCCCGTCGAGGCGCCGCGCACACAGTATCTATTAGTATCTATGTTTAAGAAATAAACGCTTTTAGAAATTATCGTGCTCCCGCTGAGGCCTTGTGGTCATAGTATCTAAAAGTATCTATTTCGGACAGTGTCTAAAAATATTTGTCTGCATCGGCTGTGTTGCAAGATTTCCGCGTCTATTAGTGTCTAACTAGTATCTATTTAGTATCTATTTTTGAACAATAGTATCTATTTTCAAAGCACGCAGTGGCGACCATAGTAGAGCTGAGAAGACCAGCTTCAAACAGTCCACGACATTCAATCGAAGGTGGCGTGGATGCGTGCACGTGAACGTCTGCACGGGCCTGTATGCATGTGTCGATGTGTGCATGTGTATGGGTGCGCGCGGAAGTGTATGGCGTACGTGCGCGCGTGTGTGTGTGTGTGTGTGTGTGTGTGTGTGTGTGTGTGTTTGTGTTGTGTTGTGTCGTGTTGTGTTATGTTGTGTGTTGTGTGTGTGTGTGTGTGTGTTTTGTTGTGTGTGTGTGTGTGTGTGTGTGTGTGTGTGTGTGTGTGTGTGTGTGCGTGCGTGCGTGCGTGCGTGCGTGCGTGCGTGCGTGCGTGCGTGCGTGCGTGCGTGCGTGCGTGCGCGCGCGTGCGCGCATACGTTTGTGTGTGGAGGGCCTTGAAGGGCCCCAAGAGGGCGCCTGGGGTGAGTAAACACAGAGCTTCGAGTCATATACACTGCTGAGGCCCTCTTGGGCCCCTCTCGGACCCCTTTTTCGGCCTCTTGGGGTACTCAGGGGGCCCTCCAGGAGCCTCCATGAATCTCGAAGCGCCCCTAGACGGTTCCAAGAGGGCCCGAAAGGGTTCAAGGGGTGAATGAAATTACAACCTCGAGTCATGTACACCGCTGGGGCCCTCGTGGACTCCTCTTGGGTTCCTCTTGGAGCCAGTTGGGGCCCCCCCGAGACCACGCTGGAGAGCCCCGAACATGCTTGAAGAGGGCCCCCACAAGGGCTCCAAGGGGGTCAACCCCCAGTCGAAATAAAGGCACGCGAGAAGGTTCTCGCACGGTTTCGTTTTGACTCCTCTTGAGGCCCGCGCAGGGCCCACTCGGGGACCTCCGAGACGGCACTGGAGGAGGAGGCTGTGGAAGAGGAGGAGGAGGAGGAGGAGGGAGGAGGAGGAGGAGGAGGAGGGAGGAGGAGTGAGGAGGAGGAGGAGGACGAGGAGGAGGCGGAGGGAGATGATGATGATGCTGATGCTGATGCTGATGATGATGATGATGATGATGATGAGGATGATGATGATCATTCGTGATGATGATGATGATGACGATGATGCTGATGCTGTTGATGAGGATGCTGATGATGATGCTGATGGTGCTGATGCTGATGATGATGATGATGCTGATGATGACGATGACGATGATGCTGATGCTGATGCTGACGATGCTGCTGATGATGGTGATGGCGATGATGCTGATGAAACGCCCATAGAAGCGGAGGAGGGAGGAGAAGAGGTGGAGGTGGAGGAGGAGGAGGAGGAGGAGGAGGAGCAGGAGGAGGAGAGGGAGGATGAGGAACAACAGGTGGGGGAGGAGCAGCGTTTCGCAACATCTTGTAACACACATTTGGCTAAACACAACATGCACTAGTGCGAAGTTCGCAGTTGGAGCAGATCTGTGATGATATGGAGGATCAGGAACAATGATCCCGAAAACAGCGGCTGGGGTAAGGGATAAGGCATGGGGCTCAGACAAGTGGGAGAGGGGGTCCGAGGACGTTTCCAGTTAAATAGGCCCACCCCTTCATGGAAATAAGACCCGTCGACGACTTGTCAATCAAAGCAGCCGGATTGCAGGAGCATGCGCGTTGCAATTTAGGATCAAGCTTTGCGCGAGCTGTCCATATGACTTCGTCCCGTCCCGCGTCGGCCAATGGCCTTACGGCCTCCTCAGCCGAGTGGTTATGTCACGTCTGCACAGAAGGAGGAGGCAGCTGAACTGAGGCTGCTTCTTGAACTCGCGGACGGCCAGAAAACATTCGAGATGGTTCGCAGCGACGCTTCCAAGTTTGGGTTCAAAGGCAAGGTCTTGAAACAGCTGGTGAAATCGCACGCGTCCCGTGGTATCCGGCAGAGGCTGAAGGAACTCACAGGGATCGACAGGGAGGATTTGACACATTTTCGAATAAGATGCGCAGAGGGCGCGGGAGATGGGCAAGTTGACAGCAACGGCGCCCCTACGATGGACCACCCGTTCATATTGTTGTCCACCCACATACAACAGCTATACGCTGCTGACGATGCCTTCTTCGAGATCGAAGAGCAACCCGCGAATAGCGAAGTTGTCAGCAATTTCATAAATTCACCCGAGTATCAAAACCATGGACTGGTCAACCAATTGCGCGGCAGCGGCGAGACGGTCGTCCCTGTTGGTTTCTACGCTGACGGGGTGGCAGTGTGTTCGGACCCCATTCAAGATTCGATTTACGTGGTCATGGTATACTTTCCCCACAGAGGTCTGGCCGAGGCTGGGAGGCCAGATTGCAAGTATATCTACACCATATACCGGAAGTCAGAATGCACGCCGCAGACATTGGAAGACATTTACGCAGTGTTCCTATGGGAGCTACAAGCTCTCCAGCACGGGCGCGTGCCGGCACTGGGTCAGGAGAGGTTGCCTCTCGAGCAACAGCAACCTGGAGGGTACATCGGCGGTGCTTTCGGGATGTGGCATAAGTTTTGCTTAATGCAAGTGAAGGCCGATTGGGCATTTTACTCCGAATCTTTCGGAGCGTGGCAATGGAACAGCAATGCCCACATGTGTCCCTTTTGCTCAGCAGAGGGCAAAGGTGAGTTGTCATGGCGGGACTTTTCCTGCGACGCTGCGTGGATCCCGACGTGTCGAACGCACGATCGCTTTCTCAGCGACATGGCCCTGAGCCAGGCATCGGGGTTCGCGCGGGGGGTGGC